ACCCTGCTCCACTGCTGGTGGGAGTGTAGACTGGTGCAACCACTGTGGAAATCAGTATGGAGATACCTCAAAGAACTAGGACTGAAAGTCCCATTGGATCCATCTATTCCTCTGCTGGGTATCTTCCCCAAAGAATTAAAAGAATCATAGCTCAGTGATATATGTACACTCATATTCATAGCAGCACAATTTGTAATAGTCAACACTTGGAAGCAGCCCAATTGCCCATCAACTGGAGACTGGATAAAGAAAATGTAGTTTTTTTATAAGATGGAGTACTACTTAGCCATAAAAAATGAGAAATTAGAGACATTTAAAGCTAAATGGATGCACATTGAGGTGATACTCTTCAGTGAAACAAATAGGACACACATGTGTAAATACCGAATAGTTTTTCTAGTGTGAGAAACTGGAAGTGTAAATAAGGACTAAAAGTTATAAAAGATGATGTGAAATAGGAAGAAAAGGGGCAAAGGGGAAGGGGAAGTGGGAAGGGTAGGAGAAAGGAAAGAAGGGAATGGAATTAATATAAGAAACTGAAAAAATGGAAACAACGTCTTTATAAATGTGGAGGGATGGAGGGGTTGAAAGGAGGGGAGGGGAAGGGGGAAAAATTAGAACCAAGAGAGATTATGTAAAGGTGCAAATTTCCAATGATGAATGTCATTATATTGTATATCTAAAATGTGCCAATAAAATTCAATAAAAAAAAAGGAAAAAAGGACAATTATATACTATATTTGTAAAAAAAAATGTCTTTTAGGTTCCTAATGGCTACAGTTATCTGGAATCCAAGAGGAGGCTGGAAAAGCTATGCAGTTTCCTTGAGTCAGTTAAAAGAAGAATCTTGTTGGACTAGCTACAGGTGAACACAGAAAACTTAGATTTCTTAGAATAAATCACAATTGACTTGCCTTTGCAATATTTTTAATCATAAAAATAAAGGTGCTGTTTAACTACAGGAGAAGTAAGACTGTTTTGTCATATGGATTTCCACAGTAGCAAAAAAGGAAGCATAAACTATTAACTTCATTTATTACTTCCAGTAATTTAGAGCCTAGCATAATCAATAGCTTGATCATAATGTAAGATTTTCGAAAATTAATAGTATTAACTTTTTTTGTGTGTGAATGTTTGTTCATTCTCTGTCTGTCTCTCTCTCTCCACACACACACACACACACACACACACACACACACACACACACACTGTCTTCATTTTTGTAAGCCTGTGGAAATGAGAACAGGTATTTCATACAAACAGTAAGCCGTTAGGGGGAATATAAGAATCCAAATCTTTCAATTTTACTTTGTTTTTGCGACTGAGACTCAGGTGCGTTGGTTTCAGTGGAGGAAAGCAATTGCTTTATACTTGAAAAGAATGTAAATCTCCATGAAAAATGTTTTGGCTTAAACAAATATTCTAAAGCTGCATATCTTCAACACAACATTTATGAACTCCCCCTTGCAATTTCAGTGCATTTTCTACCGTTAATTTCAACAGATATAAATGTTTCTGGATATTACACCAGGCAAGCAAGATCCAACTATATGTTAATTTGCTTCTGTTTTTGCTGAGTATCAAGTCCAGTTATGATCAGAAACACATAGATATTTATTTAGAAGACTAAGAAAACTGGTTAAAATATCCCACTAGCTAACCTTTTGTGGCATTTAATACTTAACGTTAAAATCTCAATTAGACTTTAGTAAGTATAACAATTGCAATGCAATGTTTTCCCACAATAGATGTTCACTGAGCAGTGAATGACATTCTGATTGTGCTCAAAGCTAGTGGTTGGATTCTAGTTGCAAACTACAATATCCCAGGTCATGGACGTTTCTCTGAACTAGTATTTTACTGTACAATTATGATATAGATTGATAGATTGAGGCTCCACAGTTTCTCCTTTCCTTGATCTTTTTCTTTCTTAAGAATTCTTTACTGTCCTTGTGTACTCTTTCCAATTCCGATTAAACAGGATTCTCTAGAGAGGATTTACTATTATTCATTCACATTGCTAAGTTTCATAAAAACTGATTGTGCAGGTTTTATAGCTTACAAGTGATTTTTACATGTTATTTTGTTTCATTACCAGATTTCCCTTTTTCAAAAAGGAAAGCCAAGACTTACAACTTGTGATGATTTGTTTAAGATTATATTGGTCAAATGCAGTAAGGGTAGAATCAAATATGTTTTCTATTGTTAATTTTGGTGATTTTTTTTCACTCCTTCACTATTTTGTGTAAATTTAAGTGTTGTCACTAGCCTCTTCAAGATTATCTACATTTTTGGTTTTATTTGCCAGTCTTTTTCATGTTAAAGAAATTTTAAACTACATGCAGCATAGGAAATAGGAGGACAAGAGTGCATATTTTCAGATCTTCCAGAGAGACTCTCAAATTGTACTATTATGGAGACCTGCCTCTTTTCCTTAAGTATGAAGTTCACATGAGTGTTTATTTTCAAATTGAGTCCGAGGTCATTATCTATTGTGAGATTAATAGTTTTTGTTTCTCAAAAACTCAAGCACATTTTAATATACATAAAGATAATTTTCCATAGCATTTAATTTACAACGTAATTTAGTCTTGGTGTTTTAGAGAATTGAGACTGGGATGAGGTCCATCTAACCAACTTATTAAGTTAAGCTGTAAACTCAAGCTCATGGTTAAACATTTTAATAATTGAATCTCTTCTGGGAGATAATTAGAAGGTGTCAACTCATTGAGATTACATTGGCTATTTGGTAGTGATATTAGCATTTATTTAAATTGTATTTTCAGAAAAAAAAGTACTCTAAATTTCAAACAAAGTCAAAGTTAATATTGAATCTCCTCTTTATGAGGTGTACATTAATTCATTATAAACAGGGAGAGAAAAAGCTTAAATTGTGTATTTCATGTGGGAAAAATGAATGTCTACAGTAAAGAATTCTATAACATCCTCCATTTTTTTCCTGGTTAAAACTGAACACTTTCCAGTTATGAAGACAATATGCTTACCTTGACATGTTCTACCTCCCACTACTTGGTATCCCTGGGGGCACATACACGAGAATGTCCCAGGTTCGTTGACACATTGGTATTGACACAGGTAGTTTGAGGTTCTGCATTCATCAATGTCTGTTGAATCAGAGAACAGCAAGGACACAAAGTTCAAAAGATTTTATGTCACTGCTTTGTTAATATATATTTTAGATGAGCTATTGAGAGTAAAAACATTGCAAACTCCATAATAGAAATGCATGACTATCAGAAACTCAAGGGCCAGTCCTACAGTTCAGTTCAGTATAGTTTATTTCCATCTCTGGTTGCAGAGCACAAGGAGTTTTCTTACCATCGGTTTTACTGAATCAGTGCTGACAATTTGCCTAAGCCTGAATTTACCTACACTAGTTGAGCAGGCTGAATGAAATGCTTGTGGTTGACACTCTTCACTTTAGGCTCTGCACACCCACCCAGGATGCAGATTTATGCTTGTCTCCTCAGAAATTTGGTGGCCCAACTGCTGAGTTTATATGAGTTTGAACTCCAGATCCTATCCCTGGAAGTTTCTGGTAGTGATGTCTTGCCAGGATCTGGTCTTCAGGGGAAGAATACTTTGCGTTTCTGAGTAGGTATGTTACTAGAATTTGCTCCAAATAGCAGAGCAATGTCCTAGGCCAGCCCCTCCTGGTTTTGAGCACACTGGCATGATACAAGGACTTCTAGGTGGGGTAAGAACTTTGTGACTCCAAGAAAACCTGGAGGGATCACGAGGAAGTTAGGGACATCAAGTGTTGATGGCATTCCCTTCTTGATGTCTTATGCTTTTTGAATACAATCCAATAGAATGTATTCCTGAAATTGACTCTGAAGATTACCCAGCCGGGGGAATGGCCCTCTTTTTTTTATTAATATGGAATATGGAACCTAGGCTGCTTAAGAAATGCACACAGTGCAGTAACAAAGCTAGGGATCAGGTTTCTTGTTTTGTTTTGTTTTTTGTACTGGGGATCAAACTTGGATCCTTGGGCTTGCGAGGCAGGCGGCAGAACCACTGAGCTAAATCCCTCACCCCAGGTCTCTTGTGTTGTTGAGAAAGGGTCTCATTATGTAGTTCATGCTGGCTTTGAACTCACTATGTAGCCCAGGGTGACCTCAATCTTTCAGCTATCTTCCTGCCTCAGCCTCCTGAGTGCTATGATTACAAGCATGTGCCACCATGCCTAGCTCTAGGTTTTTATTGTAATATGTTTGACAATGCCCTCATCTCTTCTCAAACATAAATGTGCACATCAATCACACAGCATTCTTGCTAAATAGTAGATTCTGATTTAGGAAGTCTGAGATTCTGGATCTCATAGAGGAACTGCTACTACCACTGGTCATCAGCTCATAACTGGAGAAGCAAGACACTAGAGCACCATTTGTAATGATTAGACCCTGCCTACATCAAATGTTTTAGTTCTTTTGATTTTTCTCTTTTCTTTTGATGACATATTAAAAAGTCAATATTATAAATACATTAATCAGGCAATAGATCAGAATTTCTGTGAGTTAAAAATTTGTTTTCATTAACAGGTACATAAGCAGACAAAAGCAACCCCAGTTACAAGGATAGAATTTTATTACACATTATTTGGAAAATATTTTACCTTCACAGTTGAGCCTGTCACTGCTCAGCTCATATCCTTGATTACACTGACAGATGAATGAGCCAACAATGTTGTAGCACTGCTGAGCACATTGGTTGCTGGCATCACATTCATTTATATCTGAAAGAAAAGTTATATATATAAATATAAATAAATAATATGTATTTAAACATATATTTGCTCTACATCATTTGATGATAAGTAATTCCCTAGTTGAATTCTTTGTCCTGCAGAAGCTCATTGGAGAACATCCATTCAGTTTCATACTTTTTGGAACAACCTCAAAGGTCTGTCATATACTTCTTTTAGAAATACCAGGATTTTTTTTTTAAAGGAATGACAGTTAGTTTGATGTTTGATAAATCTTCCCAAAAGAATTTAATGCTTCTAATAAATATACATTCCAGTATCTATTTTCTTTTCTTGTTCAGATTCAAAATGCCAACTCTATAAATAATCATTATATGACACTCACACTGATATGGTCTCTCAGCATACTGTGGTGAAGATTTATCTGTGCTATTTATTACTTTTTAAATGGTTTCTGTTAAATTCCATTACAATTATAACATAAGCCTTTGAGACTCATACAGAGTTTTGCAATGCTCTAAGGCACTGAAAATATTGTGAAAAAGCATTTTTCCTGCACTAGATTCTTTCCATCTCATGCCAATCTTATAATTGTGTGCCGTGACATTGCATCCTGAAAAGGGAGAAGCAGCATGTAAAAATCAGATGCGCTTTCAGTGGAAAGTTTATGTACTTGAACTTCCAGTAACCCCCTTGGCACCTTCAGCATTTATATCATACACTGTTGACTAATTGGTGTGTGTATATCAATTGATCTGTAGTTAAAAAAAAACTTTTATACACCCACAGAGAAGTGAAACCAAGGTTAAAAAAGTTTTCCATTCACATCTTGATGTGTTTTAAGAAACTCATTATTACTGTCTTCAGCTTTATGATTGCTTAAGGGAAGATGATGAAAACCAGTTCTCTCAGGAACATAGAAAACTGGAAATATTGCATATTGACATGGGGTTTCTTTCCCTTGAAGATAAAACTCAGTCAGGATGGCAATTCCCGAAAGCTTACCTACACAGGAGTAGTTGTTTGCTGCCAACAGAAACCCAGGGCTGCACTGGCAATAAAATGAGCCTGGTGTGTTCACACATCTTTGGTGGCAATATGGAGGCACAGCGCATTCATCTATGTCTAGGGGATCAGGCATACAAACAGAGAACCAAATTATTGACTCAACAAAAAAACTTATCTAGGGAAGACCTCATTTGAAAAATAATTCATACTCTCATTCATCCCTCTCTGTCTCTGTCTCTGTCTCTCTCTCTCTCACCCCTGGCTGGCAAATGCAAGGTCCTGAGTTCCATTCCTGGTACCAAAAAAAAAAAAAAAAAAAAGTAAAGACTATTTCCCATAACTATGAGAAAATCAGTCTGGGGAGCTCAATGCTTATTTGAAATGACAGAGGTAGAAAAGAACAAAGAATGGAGTGATGAGGTACAATCTAAGAGGATGAAGTTGTGGGCTGTGTTCAGATGGTGACTCTAAGTCTCTGAAATATTTAGTCTCTCAGCGTTTTGCAAGATATGTAAGAAGGCTTGCCATGTGTATCTTAGGAAGTCAAAGGAAAGAACGCTGTGGAAGGAAAGGATGCTGAACAAGTGACCTCTTGAGAGTGGCCTTCTGACACTGATGAAGTGTTCCAGTCTGTGTGTCTTTCTTAGATAAATATTTCCAACCATAAAATGCTCAACCAAGAACTTGCAGAGTTGTACTAACAACTTATAAGCATAATAAAATGTCATTAATTCATGACTGTACACTTTGTGACAACTCTAACATGGCACATGTAATTTAAAATAACAATTATGCATTACCATGCAACACTATATAGTGATACTGCCTTGAAGTAAAAAAAAAAAGAAATAAGATTATGTTGGGCTCTGTGGCTCTTCCAGTGAGAAGCAGTGTACTTGCATGGCCTCAGGGTAACTAGAGTTTTAATCTTTCTTCTGGCAATTACTAGCTTATCCAAGCTTCCATTTCTTTTTCCAGAAGTATAATAATGAACAATACCATAGAAATGTTAGAGAGAAACATGAAATAAAGTAGGCTAAGTTCCTAGAACATAGTAAGTAAAAATACATGGGGGCTTATTAAGGTAGAAGATTTTTTTTTATTTGACTCACATATTGAAATAAAGATATTCACATGGCTTTGCCCCTTTGTTCAGGTGTCTTTTCAGAGCTCCTTGGGAAGAACATCTCTACCACACATAATTCATTCTGCTCTATCTCTATTCTTACCCTGCTTTAGATTTCCTTGTAACTCTTGACATCACTTGACATTGTGTTATGCTTTTACTATATTTGCTTCTTGTCTTGTCTCCCTCACTATAATACATGGCAAATAAGACATACCTTCTCCCCTTGAAGTAGAGGCTGAGAAATTCAGATTGCTCACTGCTGAATGCTCAATAGTTGAAACAAGGGCTGGCAGAGTGGGTGCTCAATAAACATTATTTGAATGAATGGAAATAATGTTAATTAAGAGTAATTTAAGCACAATGATTCCTAGTATTGTATATTACAGCTAGGTGCCAGTATTGACAGCCAAATTGTATAAATTGTACTTTCTCAGCTCTGTGATAGCTATAAATTTGTATAATCTCTTTGTTTACTACTATACTCCAACAACTGGAGCAGAGCCTGGCACATAGTCAGCCTTCAATAAATATTTGATGAATAAATGATGCAGGTAGACAGGTGTCTCATGCAGTATCATTTGCATCCAGTAAATATTCACCAAACCATTGTTTTCTAGCACTGTGTTTAGCACTGTAAGTTTGTGATAACAAATATACACATATTCACATCTGTCTAGTATGGAAGACAATCCATCGAATGATAAGATAGAAAAAAGAAAGGGGTATGAGGGACAGAGAGAGCATGGTACTGTTCAGTGTGTGGCCTGCTGACTGCTGTGGCACCATGGACTGTTTGGACCAATCTACAACAAATAAATATAGGCGCATACGTGTTTAAAAACAGCAATCTGACATCACCACGTATTTTTGTTATATTTTACGGGGATATTGGTCTATAACAGATTGGAAATTTTACTACTTCAGTACACTTTGACAAGGAAGGAGTGACTAATTATATTTGAGTAGATCATGGAAGGTTTCCCAAAGGAGGTGACACTGAGCTAGGATTTCTAGTGGAAAAGGAGTTTCTTGGGAGAGAATATTCTTTGTGCTGGGAAGAGCTTGTATAAAGGCAGTGAAGTGTGACACTGTACGTGTATAATTAGTGGGACAGAACTGGAGTATAATTTTCATTTTTGGAGAGGGGTGCTAATGGATATAGATCAGAATGAGGAAGACCTTTTATGCTCTGTTGAGGAATGTGGACTTGATTCTGTGGGTGAGGGGAACACCAGGGCAGACACGTGATTGGATGTGAGTTTAAGAAGGTCTCTCCCTACTCTCCTAAAGGGCTGTGATCATGTATTCTCTTTTCTTTGGTTCTTTTTTCTGTACTTTTTAGTCACCCAAATGTTTACTTTCCTGACTATACAATGGGCAAAACTTGGATATCTATGGAGTTTTCTATACACTCTTCTGAATCATGGCTCCAGCCACTACAAACCCTGGGCCTTTCTCTGAGGCTAGGAACCAACCACAACATCTAGGCACAGCCCCGTGGCAGAAAGAACTGGATCAGGGCCCACGAGGAACTCAGTGTTGACATCCTAATGTCAATAGCTCACATTTTTTGGTGAAAATTGATGCTGGGGGCCCGTACCCATGTCCTCACCCCCTGTTCCTAAGAGAAAATGCGGCCACTCACTGGTCTGTGGTTAAGGATGATATCTAAATAAATGGACAGAGGGAGTCAGTTACAGAGTTCCATGCCCACTGTGGGGTTTCATGATTGAGCCATGGTGCTTTGTTCCACATCACTACTTGCCCCTTGGTCTCCTTATACTGCATCCCTCCATGCATTCCCAATGCACTCATACAACATCCATCACATGGTGGGCACTCTTGCGGACTAGAGAGTAAGCAGTGACACAAGCTGATTGGCCCCTGCTCTCAGGGAGCTGACATTTTTAGACCCTTGAGTGAAGCAGGATGTACTTTGCTTTGCACTTCTAGCACCCAGCACAAGTTTGTAACATAAGGGCCTTCGGACAGCCAACTCACTGAATGATAATAGCACACATTTGTATGGATCAGGCCAGAGCTGTTCTAGGCACTCCCATATGTGAGCTGTTGAGGTGGGATTGATGCTGTCACAGGACAAATGAACATGAGATAGAGAATTTAAATAATTTGTTCAAGGACTCTAAATGACTTAGGGGTTGAGCTGGTATTTGAAACTCACCATTTGTCCTGTGTGCTGTGTGATGCTACATGACAGTGAATGAAACCCATATCACCAGTGTGTTAGTGTTACACCCTCTAATTTAAAATTATTTTCTTGGTTACTTTCATGGTTCCATTCATACCCCAAACTTCTGCTTTTGTTAGCCTACCACACTTTGATTTTTAGGATAGATTCAACCTTTAAGTTTAGTTCTTCTTGTTTGTTGGAAAATTGATAGTCAATGGGAGAAAAAGCAGTTGTTAGCTATCATTCTCCACATAATCATGAGTGATTTGTTTGAAAGTCTGAAGATGTTGAAGACAAGACTTTGTTTACTGCACCATGGTACTTACCTACACACTGCTCTCCCCGCTTCTGGTACCCTGCAGGGCACTGACACGTGAAGGAGCCCCGTAAATTGATGCACACTTGGTCTGCTCTGCAGTTGTGCATCCCTGCAGTGCACTCATCAATGTCTGTCAAAGGCACAATACAAAAGGAATTTTAGTTGACTGTAAAGATGTCAAAATTTTCTCCATTTTGTCAATATACTTTTCTCAAACTGAATTTTAACTTTATTCTTAAAGCATCATAATATTGTTATATTGGAAATATTTCAAATTATGTCACTTCATGTGTTCACAAAGTAATTTCATAATAATAGTTTACCACTCAGATTATCAGATGCTAACATTTTGCCATGCTTGTCTCAGCTCCCTTTGTTTTGTTAAGAAATGAAACATTTCAGACACAGCTGATGCCTCACTCCATCCACATCCCCTTACCCACCACTCACCACTCTCCTGGTAGGTGTGGCTCCTTCCCCAAAATGGTTTTATGCTTTTATTATACAGAGATTAGATGGCTGCAGCTAGTGGGATACAGTACTGTTTTATGTGTTTTAAAATAGAAATAGTTGTATGAAATCTGCTTTTTCCACCTGGCATATTGAATTTGAGATTATTTTTATTGACAAAGTTTTAAAAATCTGTCCAGTAAGGGGATATAATCAAAGTTTAACATCACACATTTCCTGTTGTTGTCTTTTTTGGCAAATGATAGGATACTATGTATGTATAAATCTTTCATTGCAAATTTCAAAATGCAAAGGACTCAATTGATCATATTCCTTTAGGAGAGATAGGCTGGTATAGTTTAAAATACATATTTTCCCAAAGATTTTACTTCTATGTCCTAAGAATTAGGCAGGTTGCAGTTCTAGAAAAGTAAATAATCCTCAGTCATAACATAAAAACCCCGTTTAGAGAATTTCTTTGTTTGGGATAGAAATGTGATATGAGTTTGCGTGTGTACATTCATATTTATAGACATTTATAAATGAAAATCAAATTTGCCTTATCTACATCAGTATTCATTAAAATCTTTCATATCATTACACTAAAAAGAACAAATAAAAGCATTACACCATTTTGGCATTTCCCAACACCTTTAGAATCTAGGCTTTATTAAAAATATCATAAAACATGTAATTCCTAGATGACAAATTTTCCATGAGAACCAAGACAGACTTAGGGGGTCTTAGATTATCACTGTGATAAACCCAGGGCAGTGCTTTGGAAGAAAGAGTGGGCCAAGAGTCAACTGAAAAAGAAAAAAGAGCCATTAGCAATTGGAATTTACCTGATTCCTGCCTTCTCTTTAAGAAACCCAGAGAGTGGCCCTTAGTATTGTTCTGCCTTTTATTTTTCCATATTTCATGGAAAACTGTTGCACTTACACTATGCAATGTCATAAGGGATTTCATGTTGTAAGAAGGTTGTCCTCAGATAATGGCTTCACTTAGGTGGGTGTGGAAATGATAAGAGAGATTCCACAAGAAAGAGGGAGAGGAGATGAAAAATACTTAAGTGATGTGTGACTGTTCATCAGATAATAACTCATTACAGCATCTACTTATATATTTCTTTGAACCTAGTTTTAAAGTTTAGCTAAGTGTTTTTGGTTTACTTTGTGTTTTGTTTTAAAATTCATTAGTATTATTTCTGTTACTGTCATTTGCAAGTGATTATAAACTCCTTTCTAGGTACGATGCAATGATGCAACAATCTTGCTGTGAAATTATCTGTTTCTTTTTGTGTCTTTTATTATTTTTTCATATGCACTTGATGAAAACCTTTCTACTGGGGTTTCTTCAGAGCTTTATGACTCGCTAATGCAGAAATGACAGCAAAATTCCTATTGTTTTATGTAAGGAACATTTGCCAGCATTTGCAGTGATAATAGCCTTGAGAGATACGGCAATGTTAGATTCAGATGTGGCAAGTAGTATACGCTGGCAGAAGATCAAGGATTTGGGCAGGCTGCTGCATTTTCTAAGCAAGGCCTTACCGGTGTTTGAAGTTTTTCTTTCTGAGACTCTCTTTTCAAACTGCCTCCAACCTATCACATTCCAGATGTCCTACAATTTCCTTATTGTTCGTTTTCTAAATCTCTTTGATAAATAGGCTAACATTTCCAGTGGAATCAATGTATCATTCAATAGGTTTTAAACATACAAACCTGAGCTACTCCTTCTTAAGAATTGGGTCTATTTAGCTTCTGAAAAGGGTCATATAATAAAACTAAATGGTAAGTTAAAGTAGTTTAATAAAAATAAACAAAAAACCAAAATATGACTACCTCCATTGCCAGTATATCCTTTTCCTTTTTCTGTCAAAAGTCAAACAAAGCTGCAACAGGACATGACTCACCTAGTATTGACTGGTGATTATACTTTCTACTTACCTAGCTTTACAAAATGGTCAAAAAAGTAACCTGTGACCAGGAAGCCCCTAACTACTTTACCATCTATGGCTTCTCTCACTACAGTTTAGGATACTTCTACTCTCCCTCTCTCTTATCAGGTTGCCTACTGCTGAAGGCTACTGATAGACTGAACTTTGAACTGTCTTCAATTGTACTGTCTATTTATTAGTTTATTTAAATAGCGTAATATTTTGAAAATTATACTTGGAGATCCTATTATTGCTTGTTTACACATCTATATAAAGTCATATCAAGGTCATTATATATTGTTAGACTCTTTTATGTTTGTCTCTTCTACTTTTGTACATTTCTATTTGTCTTAAATATCAGAAAGTTTAGTGCAATACAAAAATTACTAACAGTATAACAGAAACACTGCCTCAGGCATCTCCATGGTTTGCAAGCAAAATTGGTTTCCTACACTTGTAAGGGAAACTGTCTGCATAGGCCAAAACAATGCCTTATTTATCAGGGAAACTACTCAGGTAAGCCATGGTTTTCCTAAGAAACAAGTATGGTGGGGGATAACTTTTTATTTTGTTTTAAAAATTATCTATAATTTATTGTTGACATTAAAGCTCCTTGGCTTTTATGGGCAATCCATTAATATATGACCTGAGCCCTGGACCCCAGCTCTTTGAGGGTGAAATCTGTCTTACTTTTTTCTTTATTTTAGTGCCTAGCATAGTGCTTGACACATAGTGGGTTTTCATTAAGCATTTGTGCAATAAATGGATGAATGAGTCATTACTATTTGCTGAGGATTGGTGTGTAGAATTTAAGGAAAATAGGATCAGTGTTTTATCTCAATGGAACTAAAATTTGTAAGGCATGGTAACAGGCAAGATCTGAGAAACAGCAAAATCATCAAGGTGTCAGTAAGTGGGAATAATGTAAAGGAATTGAGTATACAAGTTCAGAGTCTATGTAGGCTGAAGCAGCCTGATCAGAAGTGAAGAGCAAGAGAAGCTTCGCCAGAGGAAGTAGGTTCTGAGATGCATTTTGAAAAAGATGAGATACATGGATTGGAAGGGAATAAAGGCTGTTTCTAAGAAGGCAGATCACATTAGAAAACATTAATGAGACCCAGCTGGTCTGCATGAGAAGAATGGCAGAGAGCTAGAGGGGCTGTGTGTGAGGAGGCTGGTGCAGTGTCTAGCAGAAAATGCCCATAAAATGCTCACTTAAGTAATGAGAAAAATTTGGAGGCTTAAAGGTGGGATTACAGAGTTTGGATTGAATATCATAGTGAGTAGCAAGCAGCTCTGTACTATGCAGTCATAGCCTAATGTTAACATTACTGAAGAACAAAATAATAGAATGTACTTCCTAAAACATCACAACACATTTCATCATTCTAATATATTAAGAATAACTAATGGCAATATCTGGTGATTCCTTCATTTTTCAAAAATGTGCCCATAGTTTCCCTTTCCAGTGATTTATACTATTGTAGGCTCCTCTCTTGCTGACTTTGGGAACTTTAGTTGCTTTAAATAATCCAGTATAATCTTTGTTCAGTTCTCACTTCTAGCCTCTTTATCACGCTGAACCTCAGTTAATGGAACCATGTATTTAATTTTCTCTCAAAGCTAATGGAGGTGATAATGTCCACATGACTGTGATGTCCATTAAGTCCCTGCTTACGCCTTCATTCTCTTTGTTTGGCTTCTTCCCTTCAGTCTGACTCATATTTCCCAAACCCCTGACTCATGCTGCTTTCTCTCTCTTATGCAACATTTTAATCTCTGCAATGTTCTTTCCATAATTTGATAACTTACCACAACATAGAGTCACTTCAGTGTGTTTGTGAGCAAAAATTATCTACATTTTGAATGCTGTTGGGTACCATTTAGACTTTTCTAATTTGTGCTGCTTTAAGCTTAAGAAATAATTCAGAACTAATTTTGTATAATCCACTAAACACTGGTGAAGGAATGCAATGAAACAAGGGGAAGGGGACTGAAATTATTTTGATTCTGTCATTGCCTTGAAATCTAGGGCCATAATATCAATGATATTTTTTTAAAAAAGGACACTTTGGATAAAGATCTTATGATTATTTGCAGAAGGTAGGAACTATTTTAAGAGCTGAGGACATTTGTTGTTTTACTCCTGACTAATTTAGTAATGGCTATTGATAATTATAATATGAGTAATCATTAAATTATGTTGTTTGAAACTTATTAAAAGAATTTATATAATATTTATATAGCTTCATATACAGATTTGTTAAAATTTAAAAACCAATTAGCACAAAATAGATACATGCTTAGCCATATGAAAAAATGTATTATTTGATTAAGCAGTGAGATTTACAAAGTCTCCGATTCAATCCTAATAACAGCCCAGTGGCATAGTGATCACATCATCCACCATTAATAGATGAGGAAAGAGAATGTTACTGAAATGTAAACTCTGTGAGGTGACTTGCCTAAAATCACACAAAGCAGAAAATCAAACCCAAGATTTCCATTTTGCTTCTGTAATTTAGGTTTTCAGAAAGACTTATGTCCTAAAAACTCTGGATAGCAAATGTTTGGCCATGGTCAAATGTATTTTAATTTTTTTTTTAGCGTAAAAAAGAAGGTTGCTAATCTTGCAGCACCTTGATTTCTCCCCTGTGTCTCTGTTTTACTTAGAATAACATTCATAGCTCTCCAAGTTTTGTTTGCCTCCCTAGTCCTTAGCCAATTATCAACAATTTTTG